GCAGGAGGGAGACAGGGAGAAAGAGAGAGAGAAACATTGATGTGAGAGAGACACATCGACTGGCTGCCACCCACACGACCCCAGCTGTGGCTGGGGACAAACCGCAAGCGTGATACATGACCTTAGTGGGAACCGAACCCAGGTGTCTCTGGTCCGTGGGCCAATGCTTTCAACTGCTGAGCCAAACCAGCCAGGGCTCCACCCCACTTTTTAACAGAAATTGAGGGTCTGGATCTCAAATTCATGTAACTATACAAAGGACCTAGAATAGTCCAAAACAACCTTGAAAAGAGCAACAGATTTGGAAAGCCAACATTGATTTCATGACGTATTATAACACTACGGGAATCAAGTCAGTGTGATATTGTTGTAAAGATAAACAACTAGATCAGTGGACAGTTTTTCTGAAAACAGGTAGAGACGTAATTGATCTTGTCCAGACAATATCTGATGGGATGAGGGGGTGAGTCGCCACATTTCTGTGGACTGAGAATTGGATGAATGACAGTGTAGAAGAATGAGCTTATGTAGAAATACCCTGCTTTCTCTGTTCTAAACACAGAGAGTTTTGCTTGTTTGCTTTCAAAAAATTTTTAAATCATCTGTGTGGTTGTAAAGAAAGTGGAACACAAGAACAAGTGCCCTTGGGTGAAAACCAGGTGGTGCAGCTGGTTTCCAACACCTGAGGGACTCTGGGCAGGGGCCCAGGGAGGACGGGGCCACGAGACCCAGCCTCTTCCGGGGCGTGGTCTGCGCTGAGCGGCTGCCTGGGGGTGGGAGAGAGCAGGGAGCCCCAGCGCCGAGCTGAGTTTGGCTCTGTCCTGAGGCCTGGGTTGCCCCCACCCCTGGAAGACCAGAGGTCCGTCCATCCTGTTGCACCTGGTTCCGAGAGGAGGTCCAGAGGGCCGTGCAGAACGAGCCTGCCAGACCCGGAGAAGTCAGCGGGGCAGAGACTGCAGCGGCGAGACCCGCCCGCCCGGGGAGCCGCAGGCTAAGATCCGGAGCCGCGACAGGGAGCACTTAGAGGGTGGCCGGCACGCCCGAGACTTGAGAAAGCAGAGAGAGAGACCTGGAAACGTCTGATATCAGAATGTTCGAGATCCTCTAAAGGAAAGGGAAGAAGTAGCCTTCGCCCTCTAAAGAAGAAAGCAGGTGTGATGAAGGAAGATAGAAGAGGTGGACAGCTATGAATCAGAAACGGTTGGCTGTGAAAAGAACCAACCTGAGATTTTGGAAAGAGGAAAAGACTCTGTGGTGACTTCCACTCTGGCTGGACTTGGTGAAGTCCAAGGTGGAGATTGGTGGCGCCGGGGAGCCATGCCGAGGATTCGCCCACCCTAGGGAGACGCAGTGCTGAGAGCGCGGGAGACAGGTGCCCAGGGGAAGAAGCGGGAAGGAGGAGAGCCGTGCCGAGGATTCGCCCACCGTAGGGACACGCAGTGCTGAGAGCGCGGGTGCCAGGTGCCCAGGGGAAGAAGCGGGAAGGAGGAGAGCCGTGCCGAGGATTCGCCCACCGCAGGGAGACGCAGTGCTGAGAGCGCGGGTGCCAGGTGCCCAGGGGAAGAAGCGGGAAGGAGGAGAGCCCTGCTGAGGATTCGCCCACCGCAGGGAGACGCAGTGCTGAGAGCGCGGGAGACAGGTGCCCAGGGGAAGAAGCGGGAAGGAGGAGAGCCGTGCCGAGGATTCGCCCACCTCAGGGAGACGCAGTGCTGAGAGCGCGGGTGCCAGGTGCCCAGGGGAAGAAGCGGGAAGGAGGAGAGCCGTGCCGAGGATTCGCCCACCGCAGGGAGACGCAGTTGCTGGAGCGCGGGTGCCAGGAGCCAGGGGGGATTCGCCACCGGTAGGGACACGGCAGTGCTGAAGAGCGCGGGGTGCCAGGTGCCCAGGGGAAGAAGCGGGCAGAGGAGAGCCGTGTCGAGGATTCGCCCACCGCAGGGAGACGCAGTGCTGAGAGCGGAGGTGGCCAGGTGCCCAGGGGAAGAAGGCGGGAAGGAGGAGCAGAGGCCCTGCTGAGGATTTTCGCCCACCGCAGGGAGCCGCAGGGCTGAGAGCGCGCGGGTGCCAGGTGCCCAGGAAGAAGCGGGAAGGAGGAGGAGCACGTGCCGCGGATTCGACCCACCGCAGGGAGACGCAGTGCTGAGAGCGCGGGTGCCAGGTGCCCAGGGGAAGAAGCGGGAAGGAGGAGAGCCGTGCCGAGGATTCGCCCACCGCAGGGAGACGCAGTGCTGAGAGCGCGGGTGCCAGGAGCCCAGGGGAAGAAGCGGGAAGGAGGAGAGCCCGTGTTGACACTGCGTCAGGAATACCTGGTTCGAGAGCCCCGGAAAAGGAGGTACTCGCCGGGAGAAGACAGAGTATAAAAGGAGGACGGTATTTTAGGCGAAAAGACAACTTGGCTAGTACATTTCAGGGGAAGCGAATAGGGAGCCCAATGCAGGAGAGGCTGAGCCAGGGCAAGGGTGCAGAGGAGGGTGAAGGGGCCCGGGGAGCCCCGTGTCCCAGGCTGAGGGGAAGGTGCGTCTGGGTGTGGACGAGTTGAGAGACGCTGGCCTGAAGCTGTGGGAGTTCACAGTGTTTATTTCCCCCAGGAAGAGGAAATGGTGACCCATGGAGTATCAATGAGGCTGATTGAGTCGTTCATCGATTCAGTCAGCTCCTCTTTATAAAGCACCTACTGGAGGCCAGGTGGACACAGCAGTGAGGCTTATGGGTTTGGGGCTCCCGTGTGACGGAAACACGCCAAAGGTTTGAAGAGGAGAGGGAAGGAAAACCTGCAGCTGGGATAATAGCAGCATCTTCTCAGGTAGCCTGCGTCTGTCCTGCAGGGGGCGCTGGCGCTGCTGACGAGCAGATCACCAGGGGGCAGTGCTCCACGTCGGCCCGCGGTGGGCTGGAGCCTGGTGGGTGAATCCAGCGATCAGTGGAGTCCCAGATTCTTCCATCTTCCGGTGTCGTGTGTCATGCTTTTTTTTCCTTATAGAGTATTTTTTTTCCTCTGGTGGTTTAATTCTGTGAAATGTGTGGAGATGTTTTAGGTGAGATTCTTTTTTCGACTCATTCACTTATTTAAAAAATATTTAAGCATCTACTGCACACCAGCTGTTTGAAATGTTAGATTAAAAGGCAAATGGCCCTGGCCAGTTTGGCTCAGCGGTTGGAGCGTCGGCCTGCGGTACAGAGAGACCTGGGTTCGGTTCCCGGTAAGGGCGTGTACCTCGGTTGCAGTTTGTCCCCAGCCCCGGCTGGGTCGTGCAGGAGGCAGCCACTCGATGTGTCCCTTCACATCGATGTTTCTCTCTCTCTCTCTCTCTCTCTTCCTCTCTCTCCCTCCCGTTCTATCTGAACAAAAAATGTCCTCGGGTGATAAAAAAAAAAAAAAGGCAAATGCCTGCCCTCGTGAAGCTTGCGTTATGGCGGGGGGGGCAGTCAGTGCACGGGAAGGGGTGCGTCACGGACGAGGAAAAGGAGACGGGTGCCTTTGAAGGAAAGAGCACCTACCACAGGGCCAGGGCTGGGCTTGCAGGGCAGGGCTGGTGAGGACGGTCTCTCCAGGAAGGTGGCGTCCGGCTGACTGGGGCTCAGAGGGCTGCTCCCTGGGATCCGTCTGCGTGACAGGCCTGGTGGGCACCAGGCCTCCGAGGCAAGGGAGAGCCTGTATGGCAGGTGCGCTCAGAACCTTCTGGAATACCCTCTCATTTTGTAGTGGTTTCGTAAGAAGATACACAGTCAGGTGGCAGCTAGCCAGGTGGGTGGGGGGAGCTTCGAGCCCTGGGTGAGGGCCCAGGGGCAGCCTGCAGTTTCTGGGGCCCCAGCGTGACTGCCCTGCCCTGGCTGAGCTGTCACCCCAGGCAGGCTGCTGAGATGGGCGTGGGGGTCCTTCAGGCAGCGGGGGAGGCAGACAGACAGACGACCTAGACGACCTTGGGTGATTAGGCGACCTGGTGGCTTCATGGATCTGTCTTTGCCTAACCTGGTCTTTCTTTGAAACGAGGAGCCAGGTTGAGGGGACCCAAAGCCGTCCCAGACCCTGAGCAGTTTTTTAAAACCACAAGCAAGCCCTCCTGCAGCTCAGGTCCTGGAGAGCCACGGCTCCGGACAGCTGTCCGCGGAAGGGGTGGCTTCGCGGTGGGGAGCTGGGCAGGGGCTGCAGCGGGTGCTCTGTCCAGAGTGTGTCTGGGGCTGAGGCTGTTGTTTCGTTGCGTGTATATTTCCACGCTGCCGAGGCCACGCAGGCCAGTCTGGGCTGGCACATAGCGGCAGCGCGATGTCACTTTTCTCCAGCTAACGAGACAAACAGCTGGCGCTGAGCTGTGTGGCGCTGAGGGACCCGGGGTAGAGCAATGGCTGTGCCGCCTGTCTGTCCTCGGGTCAGACCCACCCTGCCCAGAGCCCACGGTCCCCCGGTTGTCTCTGTAGTTAGTAGGAGACGGTTCTTCAGAATGACTGACAAGCTACAGCGGGAACCATTTTCACATGGTGTATGTTTCACAGGACAGGTTTCTACGGGTGTTTCCCTCTGCAGTCCCAGCCTCTCCTGGCCATGGGGTCCTGCTGTGCGAAACGGGAAACTGAGGCTGCGGTGTGCATGCTCCCTGGGCTGCGGGGGTGGGGGGCATACAAGCCACTTTGTCCTGTGACAGGCGCAGCTCAGCCAGGCCAGGTGCCCCGGGTCAGAGCAGAGCCAGGCCTGCAGCAGGGCTGACCTCCCTGCAGGCTCCTCAGGGCTGTCCTCCACTCAGGGACACACCCTGGCAGGGCAGGCCGGCATCAGCCCGTCTCAGCAGGGGAGGCCGGCCTAGGGCAGGAGGAAACTGGAGACAGGCAGGAAGGGGAGCCCAGGCTGAGGGCAGGCCGTCTGCCTGTGTTCTGGGGCGCTGGGCCTCGGGCTCTCCCTGGGGCGTGTGCCCAGCCGTGCGGACGCTGAGCGGACTGCCCCGGAAGGAGCCCGTGCAGCTGTGGCAGGCTGCCAGCTAACTCTCCCCATCTCTCCAACCCTGCTCCAGCTGCCCACTCCCCTGCTCCAGCTCAGGACAGACCCACCGCCACCGTGTCGCCCCTGCGCACCCAGAGCTCCCTGTCCCGCCTGCCCACCACCAGCCTCAGGCCCCACGCCACGGTGTCCCCGCATCACCACCACCAGCCCCCAGCGCAGACCGTCCCTGGGGCCCAGGGCCCCCGGCCAGCCATCCCGCTCACCTCAGCAGCATCGGCCATCACACCTCCCAACGTCACTGCCGCCAACCTCAACGGGGAGGCCGGAGGGGGGCCCGTCAGTGGCCTGTCTACATCCAGCCCCACCCACGTGGGCTGCAAGCCAGACGAGAAGAGGAACGAGAAGGTAAGCGGCCCGTCCTGGGTGAGCCTGGCCTGGCCGGTTGGTTGTTGTCAGTCTTTGGCACCAGACACCAGAGACGTCTGTACAGGTAAGGCTGGAGGGCGGGCACAGGCCCCTGACGGATGGAGGCCAGCCCAGGAAGCAGCTGGTGTTGGAGTGAATCCGGGCAGGCTCAGGGCCCAGCTACCGCGTGTGCACATGAGAAGGGCTGTCTCCTCCCCAAGCCTGGTGAGTCCTCTGGGGGAAGGTCACTGCGACGCACTCCAGTGGCTGTGTACTACCCATGCGATGCGCTCGAGTTCTTGGCACAGCACTCCGGTGGCCGTGTACCAGGAGAGTACAAGAGGTGCACAAATCCACCTCTGTGCGTGTGAGCGGCACCCACGGCCCGCGCTCATCTCCCTGTGCGGTGCCTGCCCAGTCTCCCGCACGACCGCTTCGAGGAGCCAGAGGAGGACTGCAGCCTGGTAGGTGGTGGGGACGCATTTCAGCTGTTCTTTCGACTGCCAAGGAGGAGGCCTTTTTCACCAGACAGGTCCCGTCCAGTGAGCGGCGTCTGTTCCCAGGATGGCAGTCCAGATTGCTAAGTCGGTGCTGCCCAGTCTAACTCAGGACGCATGTCTGGTAGCCTTCGGCCTCGGCTGGGATGAGGGGAGAAAGCTGGAGTCAAAATTACTTCAATCGTGCGTGAATCTTGAATTTGGAGGAAGAGGGGTGCCGACTGATTGATTAGCACAGAGGAGGGTCCGGGGCTTGGCCGCCGGGTGTAGATCAGGGCTCTTCCGCTGACCAGCTCTGCGACTTGGGCAGCCTCCTTTGCCATCCTGTGTCTGTTTCTTCATCTGTAAAATGGGGATGATAGTGTCTACCATCCCGAGTTTGGGGGATGGTTAATGTCCCCATTGGTTAATGTCATACATGCTTAGCATCGTATTTGGAACCAAAATATTAGAAATCATCATTAATATTGATAGTTCTTTGAAGGCCAGATCCCACAAAAATGATATAATATATACAGACGTAAACATTATATCCTCCATGCTTCTAACAAAAGATTAAAAGGGGCTCTGGCTGGTTTGCCTCAGCGGTTAGAGCGTCGGCCTGTGGTCCAGAGAGACCCGGGTTCGGTTCCCGCTAAGGGCATGTACCTCGGTTGCAGTTTGTCCCCGGCCCTGGTTGGGTCATGTGGGTGGCAGCCACTCGATGTGTCCCTTTCACATCGATGTTTCTCTCTCTCTCTCTCCCTCCCACTCTATCTGAACAAAAAAAATGGAAAAATGTCCTCGGGTAAGGATAAAAAATAAAATAAAATAAAAAAATTAAAAGGGGATTGATTTTACAGTTAGGAAAAAAAGACACAATGTTGCCAAATTGAGAGATGTAGGCTACTCGGCGGGCACATGGCTCGGACTGTGCAGCTTGGTCGCCCTCAGCCGTGCCGCTCTTTCCTGGCTCCCTTGTCTCCACCTCCGCCGAGAAACACCGAGTAGAAGGTGTTTTTATGTATTAGCTTCGTATCTGACCTTTGGTCAAGAAAACTATTTTAGTCAGAAGTTGGGTTTCAACTGCAAAGAATTGAACCAACATTCATTTTAAAAATAGTATTGAACTCTAGAAAAGGCAAAGAATTTAGCTATGAAGCCCTGTAACAGCGGAGGGGTCCCGCGACCCTCCCCAGGACAAAGCTTACGTGGCTAAGCAGAGTTGCTGAGGGGTTTTATTCTCTACTGACACAGTGCTCCTGGACACCAGAGGTGGACGTGACACGAGGCTGGGGACGTGGGCAGTGGGCGTTCGAGTGGCACCGGCGTGGCCCTGAGCCACTGGGCACACTTGCTTCCCACATCATCAGGTTTGGATTCTGTTCTGCAAAATTCCATCACCGTCACCACCTTCTTTTGCACTGACTCATGCTCATAACGCCTGGGATGTTGGTTTCCAGCCTTCCCCGTCCAGAAGCTCTCAGCCAATGGAGTCACTTCAGAGAAACATGTACACACCCCATGAATCAGCCAGAGCGGAGCCTGCAGGCTGGGCGGCTGCCCTTCCCAGGAGGCAAGCGCGTGAGCGTGGTCGAGAACCGTGTGCTGCCCGTCACCGCTGGAGGAGGCCCGGAAGGAGCAGGTGTCGCTGGGTGCACCCTGCTCGCGAGCCCCCGGGCGGGGCGTGGGCGTGGGCGGGTCAGCCTCGCTCCCTCCGGGGAGGGCCAGGCTTCCCTCGCTCCCTGGTGTTCACGTGCTTAGTGATTCCCTCCGGGTCATGACTTAGTACATTACAGGACACATTTCCAAGTCGCAGAGTCAAGTTAATCTTTTGGAGAATTCACACTCTGTCCATTACCTCAAGTAGAACTAATGGTCAGTGCCAGGAAGGTGTTCCGGCTTGAGGATCTCTGTCCGACCAGCAGTGGTGGCGAGACGTCTGTCCCTCCCGCCGCAGCTGAGGATAAACGCCGTGGGACTCTTGTTTTCTTCCTTTCGCGTTCTGTCCCCTTAGACGCTCCTGCGGTGGGTTTGGTGTTAAAATGGGGATAATGTGCTCTGATAACTACTGAGAAGCGCGTCACTGTGTGGGTCGGCGTCCGCTCGGGTTCCCAGAGGCCCAGGACCAGGTGGAGACACAGACATAAACGGCACTTACGGACTCGCGCGAGGGCGACGGAGGCTGGCGAGCGGACATCCGCGGGGCAGGCGAGTCGGGAGACGCAGGGTGCTCTTGAGGCCTGGGACAGACGCAGGAGGCCCACCGCGGTTCCGAGGCTCACGCTCCATGTGGTCTTAAAGCACCAGCCGTGGAACGTGGGCACCTCCTCAGGAGTGTCTGACTGATGTCTGCAGACCGCGGGCATGGAGCCTCGCCGAGCTGACACGGAATTAGTCATCCACACCCCGGCCAGTTGGGCTCAGCGGTTAGAGTGTCGGCTCGCGGACCAGAGAGACCCGGGTTCGGTTCCCACTAAGGGCACGTGCCTCAGTTGCAGTTTGTCCCCAACCCATGTTGGGGTCCTGTGAGCGGCGGCCAGTCGATGTATCTCTCTCACATTGATGTGTATCTCTCTCTTCCTCCCTCTCGCCCTCCCGCTCTATCTGAAGATAGGTACAAAAATGTGCTTGGGTGAGGATAAAAAGAAAAAACAGCACAGTCCAACCCTTGTCAGGCTGGCATCGTACCCGTCTCTGTAAACCCCCTGGGTCCCCGAAGGAGGACAGCAGGGAAGCCTAGGGCCGCAGCGGCCGGAGCCCGGCGGAGATGCCAGCCGTCTCCCAGGAGAGCAGCCTCGTTGTCAGGCGGTCCCCGCTCTTCCTTGACGTCCTGTGAAGCCAGGGACGTGAGGGGGTAAGAGAACGAGGAAAACACAGACATTTGTACATGTGATACGTGCACACAGACATTCATAACGAAGTAAGGACGAAGCAGCACTGCAGTCACAGTTCTTGTCTCTGTAACTGGTGTCCCTGGTGGCCTCGCTCTGGAGCTCGGTCCGCAGTCCCTCCGCCTTCCCCAGCGCCCGCGGGTCACACTTCGTAGCGGTCGGCTAGCCCAGCACTCACTCCTGCGGGGTCGAGGCCTGCGTCCCTGTTGCCTGAGTTGGGTTGTCGTGGTGTTAACGTTCACCGAGGGCTTGCGGATGCGGAGGGGTGCTGAGGGCTGGCCTGGGCCCCGAGGTGCTGCTCCCACCTCCGGGGGCACTTACCACAGAAGCACTTCCTCTGCCTGCGGTTGAGGGTCCAGGGGGCCCAGCAGTACTGACTTTCAGTTCAAGGGCATTGTCTTCAGTCTCCGGGCAGCAGCATTTGTTCTTTGGAATGAACACATGTACATTAGCAGAGCCTAAGGTTTTGCATAAAATTTTGCAGTTGAGCCCTGGCTGGTTTGGCTCAGCGGTTAGAGCGTCGGCCCGAGGACCAAAGAGTTGTAGGTTCGATTCTGGTCAAGGGCATGTACCTCGGCTGCAGTTCAATCCCGGCCCTGGTGGGGGTCGTGCAGGAGGCAACCAGTGGATGTGTGTCTCTCACATCGATGTCTGTCTCTCCCTCCCTCCCACTTCAGCTGAAGATAAAAGGAAAAATATCCTCGGGTGAGGATTAAGAAAAAGTTGCGGTTGGGGCACGAGGGGTAGCAGTGCAGGATGCCATTGTTTCTGTTCACCCCCCGATTCCTGGACTGTGACTCTGGCTAGGAGAGAGGGGACCATCCATTGTGGGCTGGTTCACAGCCTGAGCAGCCTCCGGAGAGCCGGCCCCACCCCGCAAGGTGCGGCGGCCCAGCAGCACCGCGAACGCCTCTTTATTGGCCAGTCCCCCAAGCCAGCCGCTCCAGGGCGGTAGGGACCACGGTAAGACCAGTACGGCCCATGAGCAGGGGCCATCCATTCGCTGCTCTGCCCTGCAGTGAGCCCCGGTCGGAAGCAGGTCCCTGGGGGTGCCGCCTTGGTGCGCCCGTCATCGTGTGGGTCCGTGGAGAGCAGTTCTGGCGGAAACCCCGCATGCAGGGAAGGCGGAGCACGTTCAGTGTCTGGTCCAGGGGACACAGTGCTGCCCTTTCATGGTGCAGTTTGCTCTCAGCTGGGAAGGCCGGAGACGTCTTCAGTGCCTCCTGGCGTGTGTCCACCCTGTAGCCCAGTTACAGTTCAGTTCCCAGGGATCCTGATCACCTTCCCTTCACCGGAACTCACACCGGTGCACATGGATGACAGACCGATCGGACCCGTGAGCACTGGCGTACTGGACACCAGCCTGTGTGTGTCCGACAGTGAAAAATAGATCCACCAAAAGTTCAGGGCCTTCCGCTCCAGTGCCGTTTCTGGGGGTCCACTGTTTCGGGGCACGCTGAGATAACCCTTCTGAGGGGAGCTTGTTGCACCTGGCTCGGCCCACAACCAAAAAGGAGACACGGCACCCAGGGGCCTCTTGATTTTGCAGGCCACATGGGGTGCTGGATGAGGGCGTGGTGGGCTCCCCACCTCTCTGACCCCTCCAGGGTGGCGCGGAGGGGTGGTCCTG